CATTTTCTAGTCTTTTCAGTTCATTTGCCTCTACCGAATTATCCTCGCTATCAAAAGGACGTGAATCATTCCTTCTTTAAGCACCACGACATTCGAGAATTCTATCTCTATATTTTGCAATCCTGAAGGATTTTCTACAAATTGCTTTTCTTTGTAAATTAATCACTAAGATTTTATTGATCGGAATTCATTTTGTTTCGCCTGGTTCTGAGGCTTGTCACTGCTTACTTGTTCTGGCTTCTTTAGGTTAACCATGGAACTGTTTTTCCGTTGTGTATGTTTCTTGAAATCGCTCTAACTGCTTGCTTATTGACTTTCTGGTCATTCTTTTCCCAGCAAATTTTTATTTCCTTTTGATTGTGGCTATTTCCCATTCCTCTTCCACCCCCACTCCTTCAAATGACTGCTCTCATCCACGTCTTTTTCTTCATTCCGTGCCAGATGTAGTGACCAGAAGTGAAATTTTACCTTTCCTGCTCTTCTGCTTGAAATCCGAGCACTTACAGTTCTTTCGACCGGTCATCCAACTGTCTCTTGTCCGTCCCTTCCTCCTTCCCTCCTTCCATTCCTCCTGTCTGATCAGTGCAAGACACACGACACTTCTTGTCTTCTCGAAATCGTTCGTCTCCCTTCACTACTATTCATTCTCGCGTCTCATGTCCACTTGCATTCTGTCCAGCTGAATCTCTCTCTTTTTCTTTTCAGTTCTCTCCAAAAATTATCTCCCATCTACAAACGCGATTCAGTTCACATTCGTTTATTGGCAGCAGTTCCTAGGCATGTTCGTCCGGTCTGCGTAAGTCTTCGGGAATTCCACAAGAGCTTCTCATAATGACATTCAGTGCAACAAGTATGTCCACTTGACTCCTTAATCAGATTATCATTACTTTATAAACATAATGTGAATAGGATAGAACCAACTTGTTTTCACGTTCTCCACATAGTACTGTTGCAGTCGAGCCTTCAGATTCTGCTTCCTTCCGTACTGCATGCGTGAACTGAAACTGCGTGAACTTATTTCATTAACTTAAGTTCAAACTTGGGAGCAGAAAGAAAGTAATAATCTATTAGGTATTTTGCAAGATTGTATGTTTCAGTCAAGTAAATATCGACAGATGTAATTAATATAAGCGGGAAATATAAATATAAAGGAAATTGATAGGAATGCGTAAGGTTAATTTTGATGCTTGAAGAAGAGCAGCGGATAGAAATCCGTGCTAAGAACCTGTTCCGGAATGCGTGCGAGGAAATTTACATCAAGTTACTCATCAGTCAAGAGTGAAAGAAGTTGCTAATTGCGAATATCTCACAGTGAAATGCATTTATAAATCGCCACAGAATAAAACCGAAACAAATCTTATTGGCTATTTGCAACAAAGACATTTGATTTAAGAAGACGAAGGAATATTCAGGCTATTGAGCCCAGAAAATCTTAGTTTAAAAATTGACGGTTTGTTTTTTATAAAGTTATCTCAGAATACACACTTATCAGTGCTGTGAATTTTTTGATTTGATTGTTTGAGAAGACGCAGTGAAATTATTTGGCGAAGGTCGATTTTCTTTAGAGAGATTTTTTTGGACATTATAGGGTTGTTGTCAATGATTTATCAATAACTGTCGGAAATCGAAATAGCTATAATATAAAAATATTCACGTATCTTTGTATTACCAGTGTTTACATTAATGATATTGTTTATCAAAATGCCATAATTTCTTGATCTCAAAGGTAAGATATAACCTATCTATTCCTTTGTCAACAATTTTTATCAAATGACCCTTTGTCTAATATCGCCAATAATTATCACTAACTGATCTTTTGTTCTCTACCTTCGTTCCCATCGGCAATGATTATTATTAAATAATCACGATTTTAATGTTCACCGAGCAGTGCTCAACTCGAAAGATATATAGATTTCGTTTCAATCACTACTTGGATCAGCATTAGTAATAGAATTACTCTCACTGTCAACATTCTCTTAAACCGATATATTAACAACCAGTTCTAAATTATCTTCTCGGATCAATAAAGGACAATCAACGGCTTACTATAAATTCCAAAAGCTGAAGAATAAACATCTCCATCAAATAATTCAAGTACGTCAGAGAAAGCCCTTCCCAAAAGAATCTCATTAAAAAAATCGTTCATAACAATAACAGATTCGATTACTTCCAGTTGACTGGTTGCCCTGAGAGAGTACAGCTCGGAGTATTTGTCTCAAAAGATTCGTTTGGATGCACGTGGTAACAGCAACGTGTTGTAGCAGCCAAAACTTTTTTATTGGTGAATAGGACTGAAATCAGGTTCCATAGGAATGGGAAAGATTGTAATTCCCTTTTAGGACAATTAAGCATCAAAGATCAAAGTGAATAACAATTTCAAAATTCATAATTATAAACAAATAATCATCAAATGCAAAAGATTGGTTGTTTTGACATTTCTGGTGAAATTAAAAATACAAATAGTAATTGCCTTTTTCAAACATAAATATATAAGTAGGATTTTTTATGAACACGATGGTAATTTGCCATAATATAAATTTCTGTGAAATAATTGTATGATTTTAACTTTGTTTATTGTAGAATAATTTCGGGTTGCCGACAATCAGTATTCAATGCCATGTCACGTAAAACTTGCCGATTATAGCTCATCGCTTAATTTAATGATCTAATCATCCAAAGATGAGACTTACTTTAGTTAGAGTTTAGTTTGAGAAAGCACTGTGTGGCCAAGCCAGTCGGTGGTTAGGTGGAAGGATCGATTAGCAGGCTTAACCAAACCCTAATGAGGCTGCTTTGGGTTCCGCCTCCATAACTATTGGAGGCGGAATCCAAAAAAAGCCTCATTAGTTCATTATTTGCCTACACTTTCTTTCTCCACTCTTCCATTTAGAGACAATTGACAAGTGGCCTCATCCTTCAATACCTGTCCCTAACTGAAGTTGGTTAATGTGGCTGCTACCAATTTGATGATGTTTTAGTACTTCAAACTTCTATCTTAAAAATATTTTCTCAATTTCCAGGTTTCCTTCACGTTTCAATTCTATCGATTCACTCCTGCGTGAGGATGAAATTAAAAGCTGTTGCAGGGCTCGAAATGAATAGTCAGTAGAAGAGATATGATTTCGTAAACAATGATTTCACCCCTCTTCCACTATCAGTTCTCTAAGGATCACAAATAGATTCAATTCTTAAACTAGCATAACCTTCCATCTCTGTTTATTCACGTCAATTCTATCTAATAAATTCAGAACAATTCCCGCGGGTTCTGCAAAAAGCATTACCTACCATGTTCAGCGTGAAGGTTACCGGAATGCTGCACTGTCAGATTCAATATTTGTGTGTTGGATTCATCAGAATGTGTTTCATTGAGAACTTCGATTTTTCTTTCTCAATAGAACACATTTCATTTCCTTTTCCTTTTCAATGAAAAGTTTGAATACAAATGGACTGCAAAGTTTGTACGTGTAATATTTATCGTATTAATTCGTCCGATGACCTGAGAAAAGTAAATCAACGTGACTCTATCAAAATTCGCATGTTGGAGCTTTTAACCATTGCTCTTATCCTAATCCTACAGTTTCAAAACAAAGGCATTTTATGGAATCATTAGTCATATCTTTTTTTGGAAGTATAAATGAGAACATACTTTCGAGACAGCATAATATTCTTTGCGAGGGCACACTTTTATAAATCTGGAAACCAATAATGCTTCTGGTGTAAGGACGTCCAAAGATTCTTACATTTGACAATAAATAGAAAAATTTTTAAAATTTTATCGAACCTAAGACCGATGATCAGATCTGCTTTGGAAGAAAGTTCGATTCGCTTTTTGGAAGACGCCGAACATCGGAAAAGTTTACTGCGGAAGGTACGTAACATTGAGGAGAGAGGTGGAGGGGTCTTCAAGAAGGCTCGGGGAAGGATAATGAACTGTAGGTCACTGAATCTGTGAATCTTCAAGTTCATTTCACGTATACGCTTCACTCGAGATCAGTGTCTTTGATGTTATCTTTCAGCTACGATCACTGTATATCGAGTTTGCTAAGTTCCATTTGCTACTGGAAACAGGATACAGTATCCTGCAGTCCTGAATATCACTCATGAATATTCACAAAAGTGTTTTGCGTGTTACACGGTGCCAAATGATCTTGCTAGCGGTGTCACGAAGTTAGAATCACTATTCGTTTCGGCACGTTTGCTAAAATATATTTTTCGCTACCTTATCCGATTCTGGAGAGAAATTTTCTAACATTATAAATTCGCCCTGTGCTCCAATCACTTTGCACTAAAAATTCGATAAACTCCCATTAACTTAAATTCTTTTGGCTCAAATGTTGGAAACAAACTTAAGTGAACAAGAAAGTTCAGTCTTCTTATCAATTCGTGATATATTTATCGCAGTGTTCATGCAAAATTAGGTTCATTCATTGTGTGAGCAGCTGGTCATCATAGCAAGAATGTCCGGTCAGTGAGCTGGTTGAAATATCCAACAGATTGAAGAGAAAAAATTAATGATAATGATTGTTTCTGACTTTCTCGATTCTCTTATTTAAGGTACTTATCGAATCGGATCATCCTATTGCAATTACTCAGCTCTTTCCATCACTTCACTCAGGAAAATTTGAAATTTTTTTTTCAAGTTTCCCAGAATGAAGTGATGCAAAGGTGGAAATCATTGACGACTCATTTCGTCAATGGTTGTCCTTGAAGGACGCTTGATTACTTACTTATTATTGTTTTATGATGTTCAGCATCTGGCCACATATCAATCACTGGGACAGCGATCTTTCTTATTCCAGCTTGGTTGTATATATTAAAAGGAACCTTCGAAAGCTTACAGGGACAGCTAAGTAGTTCAAATATATATGAACTACTTATAATATGACAAGTTTTTGTTAGCCGTCGTATAGATCTTCAGAATTTGTAGCACGAAGTGGAATTGATGCACTTGTAAGTTACTGTGTAATTTTAATAAACGCATTGTCGTTTTCCTTGGAGAGAATTGACAGCCTTCGAAATGCTTAGAAGGAAGTTCTTTGAAGTTGGAAGTGGGAAGTACTCCCAAGTAGATGGAAGTGATCCTTCTCTCTTTGTAGGCCCTTCTTTTTTGTCCTTCCTCTCGGGACTTCTCTTCGAATAATTAACTCTAATGAATCCCTTCCACCACTTCCACAGTCACAAATCCACTGATTCCACCGAGTAGATCCCACCACATCGCTCTATCAACAATCAAACAATCTATTTTACTCTTCCACCAACTGAAATTAATGAATCAGATTGAATGGATTAAAGGATTGCTATAATTAATAATATATGTGAACCCAATGCCGGCGTCTTTCGAACTTTCTGGTGTTGTTGTGAGAGGATAGGAGAGAGAAATCAATCTGAAGGTAAATTCCTTCACTTCTCTGTCTTCTAATTGACGATCGTATCCAATAATGTTGGGAGTGAAAAGGAAAGCAAAGAGGCATGAATTAAACCGGAATGGTTAAAGCAGACCTGGTTAAGAGAGAAACCAATGACACAGGAGCAAATATTTTTTAATTTGAAATATTTTGAGAATTCCTCACATTGTCAACAAAACCCACGCGTAACGCGTAGAATTGCTATAAACTTGTCAAAAAACGTGAAATTACTTTCCGCTCACATTTGAAATGAACCGCAAGAAAAAGAGAACAAGAATGAAGCAATGCAATTGTTCGTGAAAAGTGTTGGAGGACGGAAGAATCAGTGGAGCTTTTGCCATTTCGTGATGATCATCTTTTGTTATTAAAATAAAAAAAAGTTGAAATGTTTAAAGTCTTCCAACCAGTTCTGCTAACTACGAGCCCCTATTCAGTTGAAAAAAGCGAACTTGGAGATATCACAAACTCCTTTAAGAGAACACATTTCTACAACCTCTCATTGACTTTTGCTTTATCGAACAGATCTAAGACAGCATCGCAGTACATCGATTAACTTTGGTTTACTCTGATTAATCAATAAAGCACTAAGTACATTTAAGTGCAGGACTTTGAGATAAAGAAAGGAACGGAGGAGTATTCCATCATTCTCTCTATATTTTGTTTCATCAACTTCGAGAAGGGAAGCAAAAAATTTAGTTCAACTTAGGTCCTTGATAGAAAATTTAGTTCAAACTGAGCTCATCATAGAAGAAAATTCAGTTCAAATTAAGTCCTATACATATGTTTCTATTGCCAATAAAAATGGAAAAATTAGGGCGTAATTTAAACTATCTGTGTCATCCTCATTCCTTCCCCAACAGATTTTAATCCTTCTCTTTGAAGGCAGAAAAATCATTCCCGGTCAGCACAGAAGCATCACAATTGTTCTTTGTGTCCCAGGCTTAATTCATTCCCTCCCAACTGCAATATTCACTTTTCATTTCCTTTTTAGGCTCCTTCTCCAAAATACATGTGCGCAAAATCTCTTATTTCATGAAATTTCATAAAATAATTAACTTTCAAAGGAAATCAAACGATGATGAGACGTTTAAGTCAGAAATGAAAATAGCAAATTTTCATTGCTGTGAATAGTCCTCAGACGAACAAATAATCTATTTCCAATTTATGCTCACTTCAGCTTTCATTTCATTTCTTTAAATTCAAGATTTCAAGACCGACAACTTACTTTTTCGAAATTAACACAATGCTCGAGTTTTGTCGTCAACCAGATTTTGCTTCAAAATGGGCTGAATCTTAAGGCAGAAGTGCTTTTCGAGCGATTTTTCTTTTTTTTTGAATATACGATTTTTCTCAGAACTTCTGAAATCCGAAAATTAATATATATTTAATAGTTGAACTTCGAACATTTATTCGAAAAATAAGCTTTTTTCTAATAACCGAAAGTGGAAGCAAAATCCTTCAGTCGCCTCTGCCTTCCAACACAGGAATAGCTATTAGCAATGCTTGAGAGGTGGCGCGGGTGGCTTTTAACAATGGTTGAGAAGGAGGAGCCGCAATAAGAAATATTTCACCGACAAAGAATATCCTTCTTTTGTGCTGGTGGCGCTGATTTTTGCATTTACTTTTCTGTTGTTTTAACTTGGTGCCATGGTTTTGCCTGATGAAACCTTAGAATTATTAAGGAAGAAAATCAGGCAAATTTTCCAAGAGAAAAAGTTGCAGTTCGGATAGTTAAAGTAAAATACAAATTTACTCGCTTATTGTTAATGTGTGAAAAACGATTAAAATCGCTATCAGAATAATTGGGAAGGATAGAAATGATTCACAGTTTTGCTGAACAGATAAGCGGAAAAAGTGGAGAAAGGAAAAGGACAGGGTGAACTGAATCGAAATGAAATGAATCATCCAATGCTGAATCACTTGAAAGTGTTTTTCGACTCTGTAATGTATTGCTGAATCTGTTCATGTTTCAGGTGGTTCGGAAAAGTGGCAGGAATTCCTCCCCTTCCACACTCATAAGAGAAAGAGAAAGCAATTATTCATGCTAAGTGTGCAACAGTTTTGCATTCTCTCACTGATTGCACCGAGACTGTAAAGTGGAATGTCATTCAACAGTTATTGTGCTCTTCCAAGTTCCTCTTGCTCACAGTAACTCTGAGAGTTCTCGTAGGAAGAAAACGATCTCTCTCACTGTTCGCCTTTCATCTACCGGGGTGAATATGCTAAAAACATAATGCTTCAGGGATTCCTCTCTTGAGGCTGCTGGTAGGGGTTGGCCAGCATGTCCGGTTTGCCGCAAACAGGTTGGAGTTGCGAACTTTTAAAGATGGTGATCCATCGTTTGCCGTCCTGTCGACATCAGTTCGTTCACTCGGTGGTTCTTTTATGAGATCGAGCGGATGGCAGAGAAGCATTTGCAGTTCACGTGCAGAAAGCACTCACCACCCACCACGACATTTCCACAATGAATCATTGCTTCAAAAAAGCTGAAGCAGTAACTGAAACAGTTGTTCGCACCTCTGACCTCTTCCTTCCCCTTTCCAAGCCATCCGTTCACTCTGTGTCACGGAGAACGAAAATTTTTGTTCTTACTTGCTGACTGAGAGTTCTCGTAGGAAGAAAATATTTCACCCTCCGATCAAGCGTCCCTTTCCAGAAGAAAGAAGTGAGAGTGCGGAAAAGATCCCATCGCCTCATTTAATCATCAACCTTTGCTTTTATTAATTCAGAAAATGTAGCCGCGTTCTTGTCCATTCTCACCTGCCATCGATAAATCAAGTTTTTGGCTGATATATAACAAATATGCAGTTCACCTCAGCTAAGTTTGACTAGCAGGGATAGGAGAGTAAAGGCGTGGGTGAGTGAAAAGTAGGGACCATTCCCGGAAATAACAGCAAGCATAGGCATGACATTGTGTGTCCATTTGGGTGAGTTCGTACCTTGTCGCAGAAAGCGAAACGGAATGAAGCGTCATCTGAGATTGAACTTCACCGCATCGGACTTATTCCAAGGAAGCTGTGTAATGGCTGGATAAGAGAAAAGTGAGCTTAACAACGACTGGCGTGCCGTTCTGATTAGAAGCGAAATGAAGATAAAAATTAAAAGGATTTGATTTGATGATGGTGTGATTGTTTGGAATCGTAATAGCACTTCTCAATGTAAGCGAGTTGGTAGGAACGGGGTCATCTAGCGCATGCCTCTAATTGAAAAGTGAAGTATGCTTATTAATTAATTGTTGGGATGGAGATGACGCAGTGGAGAAGTGAAGAGAAATAAAGATTTTTAGCAACTTTACATTATTTTTTAGAAAGATTGTTTACGAAAAACTGTTAATCTGAAGCAATCATGGCCAGAGATAAATGCAGACCGAGCAAAAATAGTAGTCGATGTAATGGTAAGGATATGATGAACTTTGAAAGGGATTCGGCTGCCTTGTTAACAACGGTCAGTGCCGTGGCAGTAAATATGGCTCCGAGCAATACTGCTTGAGTATGATGATGGAGAGCGACTGAAATATCGATATCAGAGAGTGGTCGACAAATCTTACGATTTAGAAACTGCGATTAAAAATGGAATGTTAGGTGTGGCGGAATTTCAGAGAGCTTGAAAGCTCATGAACAAGTTTGAAGCTGGCCAAGGAGACTTTTATTTATCACATGACATTGGATTGAATTGGCAAATGCAGTTCAATATACCTTGGGATCGCCGATAGACGGGATGTCTCAGAGAGTTCCAGGAAACCAGTTTGTGAATGCAAGTAGCAGCAATAGTTTAAAGTTTAACTCGATCATTATGGACGGGTGAATGAGTGGTGAGATGGTAAGATGTTGCTATTATCAAATGGCTCCAAGGGATTCAGAACACTCGGTTAGATTCAAGGATAAGCTTACAATCAGTTGTTTGTCTATTGCAGAGATCAAACACTAATGGTGAAAATCGAGTAAGTCATTATGCCTCCTTCCATCTCCTCTTC